GCCGGTTAAATGTGTCGTGGTATAGTCGTTAGATATTGATTTTATCCACGCATCGAATTCGACTTGTTATTAACAAAATACCAAATCTAATAATCATTCTAGTCGATAAAAACTTTAAAAAATATAAAAATAAATACTATGACGTAAGCCAAGGGGGAGTGGGTCCGGACCCGGGGTTCACCCCCCCGGGTTCGCCACTGCGACGCGGTACCCGCGTTTGATTAGCGCGCCCGAGCTGTGTATGTAGACGCGACAGAGTTTGGCCGAAGTGCTCTGCGGGTTGCAAATAACGTCGCTTTGAGATTTAAAACGCGATGGATGCTGTCGAAAACTCGACGATAAATTGACATTTTTGCAGGGTCAAAAAAAAAAAAAAAAATTAAGAGACATCCTGTGCGTTGTATGCACTGCACGTCGCACGCACGATAGAAATCTCGCATGCGACCCACGTTCGACACATCTACGTAATTATTCGTCGTAATACGATCTCTCGGTTGTACGATACGATTATTATTATTATTTATCCACTAATATTACGGCGGCGTTCTTTTGCCAGCTGGGTGCAATATCGTCGATTGGTATTTGGTTTTTGATATGAAAACACCGGGTGACCGAACTGAGCTCGAAATCAATCTGTTCGTATCGACTAAGTACGAAGCACAAACGATAAAAATGAAAATCACCTTTCCCCCGGAGGGAAAGGGTAAATATATCTTTTATTGTAGTTGGGCAACTGTGATCTATTATTCTAGTCCTTCGCAGATTAATCGATGTTAATAATATTTATTTCACTCGCAATGTATTTAATATCGATCTTATTTTCATTTTTGAATTAATTATTTTTATCTTTTAAGAAAGTTCTCGAGTTAGACCATTATTGTTGTGTTAAAAATCAAAAATAAAAAAAAAAATAAAATTAGAATACATAAAAAAAGGTATGATAATCGTAATTTACTTTAAATTCGAGTGTTATCAAAAGATTGCTTGCAAAATTCAATTTTAGAATTAGAAAAAGTCGCGTATTTTCAACGCTATGAAATCGTTAGGTGTGCACGAATGCAGTGTATTATATAGAATTTTAGTATCAAATCAGTGATAACAAATTTTTTTATAAAAACTTGGTCAATAAATTGAAATCTATTAATGGTTCTGAATCTACATTTTGAGCCCCCTCCTATCGTTTCACAGATATGTCAAAATATTCATCCACATACGATCCGCAATGCCATATTTAATAATATATACATTAATTTACCTTAGGACACGAGCAGATTGGCCGGTGGTTGCTGACGTCACATATCGCAGTCGGTGCACAAGTGCCCGTAGCGCATGCTGAGGTGCACTTGTTCTGTTGACACATCTGCGATGGACTGCAATCATAGTCGGATTCGCATTCGTGACGGCAACCAGTAGTTGGCGAACCGAAGTAACCTGGTAGGCAAGTGCATACTGGCACATCGTTGATCACATCGCATTTGGTATTCTGACCACACGGGCTAGGATAGCACAGTTCTTCTGCAAAATTTTTAATTTCGTTAAAACTTCATTATTATTATTATTATTTAATAATTGTCTAATTGCACTAGTCTTGAAATATTTATAACCAAAATTATCAATCAAAATGTTGATAATATTAAAGGTCCTATTAAATTATCCCTTCTATCTTACTATCTATGTCAAATTATTTACGTGGATCCATTCGGCGACAAGACACGGACGGATCACCGACATGACGGGCTGGACAGGAACACACAGCGATATGATTCCTGGGAGTGCAATCAGCGTTGTATCCGCATTGTCCTGAACATACATCTTCACATTTGTAATTACGGCAAGCTTTCGTGTTTGGGCAGTCTTGATTGACTAAAATAAAAGAAAGTTATATGAATATCATGTTATGCATTTTGAAAAGATTTCTTTTTTCAACTGAATCTTAAAAAATTAGATTTATTCACTTCATACGGGCCCTGGTAAATCTCTGTTAAAGTAAAAGTAAAGTCGATTTAATTTGATGAAACAATTTTTTGTCTTGACAATATTTAAATAATATAAAAAATACATTATGTATAATTATGTATTAAAAATTGAATAATGTATATCAATTGACCACCATTGTTTTTATTTTTGCATATTTAGAATTTGTCAAGTGAGAATATTAGTACAACTAATGATACGTTTAGGTAAATTAAAATAATCGTTAAAAAAAAATAAAATGTTCCGAGAGTTATTTTAAGACGAATAATAATTATGTAATTTAAAATTATTTTTTAATGCAAAAATCACAAATTATCAATAAAACCGTTTTATTATCCCAGCTATTTACATGGAAATATTGCAATTATTATTAAACGTGTGACCGAACGACAATGCCACCCGATGAGTTGCCAAAAAGATAAAATATTAACTGGTACATACATCTGTTAGTATAATAATATTATATTATACAAAAAATTGATGTCGCAATCGTGAATTAATATTATGACGAATCACAATAAAACAATAATTTATGCGCTAACGACGTGTTTACCTTCGCATTCGCCGCGTTGACAGTAGGTCAACGGATTTCCCCAGTGTCCGGCCAGACAGCTGCAAACGGGTCTTCCTTCGGCCACGCGACACTGAGTGTTGGAACCGCACGGGTTTGGTGAACACGGATCGGTGTACCGACTTGTGTACGACGTTGGATTGTAGATGATCATACCTGTAAGTACACGCAAACGTTTGATGAATACCAACGGTTTATCTGTATTTTTATATCGTCAAAAAGAGGGGTAGAATAGAACCGCTCACGAAATTTCCTATTTTCCTTAGTGTCGTTGTGTTGTTATTGGGTATAAAAGAAAATATGTTAGGAAGTTTCTGACGATCGTTAAACCACGTTATTATAATATTTATTTACAGTTAATATCTGCATGTCGTCGGAATATAAAAAAAAAAAAAAATTATTGGAAATTCGTATTTTTATTTATTAACGTCTGAAACGACAATTTGTGATATACTGGTACAAATAATATATAATATATATATATATTATAAAATATACAGAAAATATAATACACATCATATAATGATGATTACAGATAATATGAAACACATTGAAAAATAAAACGTTATTAAAATCGTTTTCTTTTTAAAAATTAATCAATGATATTTTTTTTCTTTCAAAATTTGGTTGCAAGTCACGCTTGTTTAAATGATTGCTTTAAAAGCGATCGAATGTACCCATACAATAAAGGTACATGAAATTAATGTTTGGTAAACAGTTGGAATATTTTTTCTTTCAAAGTTATGATTCTTAATATTCTTATGATGAATAATAAAATATGATCTCAAATCACGACTATTGTTCGAAAAATTATTTATTAGTGAGATTTTGTGAGCATTAGGTAAGTACATGCTGCATAAAATCATGTATACTATTGACATTTATAATGAGACTATATCATATTATCAAAATTTTTTTAGATACACGAAACGTAATATGTTATTTAATATGTATTATCGATGTACCTTTTCTTTGAACGGTGCTATTAGTTAATTTGCAATCGTAATACTATTTTTAATAATAATATAAAGTTTAAGCAAAACCTTATGAAAGTTCACTATAATTACCTTGTGTCATGTGACTGACTGTAACGGCCATAAGGCCCAGCATTCGTAAACACTATATGGAAAAAATAAAAAAAAATTAAATTTCTTGCAAAATTGATATCCATTTTACTATAGATATCTGTATATAATATATATTTATATGTGTGTGTATTTTTGTCGTAACAAATCTGTATCTAATACAACTAAACATACTCATCCTGACATTGACCTAAATCCAAACATCTTTAACGATAACAAGGATATTAACTAGTTATGGACATTAAAATATAAATGTAGGTATTCTTTGAATTAGGTATAAAATTGTAATTGCTGATTATGTTTCGAATTTACTTTGTAAATATGACATAAGATTTATATTCATAGTTTATCCTAATAAATTCGTCTCGGAAATATAGTTTAATTCAACTTGACTAAAAACGGTCAATATTTTAGATATGTGACTAGTAGTATTTATTTAATAAATTTATGTTATTTAATTTATAAAGTAATTTAATCCAATATTCAATCATCAGTCATCATTTAATAATTAAAATAAATATAATATCTAATTGAGATTGAACGGAAAAGTGGTTTTTATATTATCCATAATTTATTATAGTTATAAATTTTATTATCTAATCATTTTTTTTTTTTTAATTAAATTAAATTTATAATGGTTATGAATCCACCATTATTTTAAGACATAAATTATGAAGTTAGATGTGATAAAAATTAAAAGACAATTTGACTTAATATCATGTTTATTATACATTTATAGTTTAACAATTTCAAGGTTAATAATGGAAGATAATATGTATAATATGTCAATGTTAAATTTCTTGTGTTTGATTTGTTACTTGTTAGTCATTTAAAAAAATAACTGTAATTGATTTGTGTTTATATTTTTTTTTTTAAATATTACAAAAATCAAAAATTAGAAAAATCTTATGTGATAAATAATTCTTAATTTATATCATTTTATGTTTAGTTAAATTTAATAATTAGTTAATGTTTCTACTGAATATACGATAAATACACGAAAAATTAATATGATATAATATATCTTATAACTATTGTCTAAATAATGGTTATCATCATAACACTATGATGAGTTTATTATAATATTATACGTTTAATAATAATAATAATAATAATATTTAAATGCCTCGACTTACCGCAGTCATTTTGTATCCGGACTGTATCCACGACGCACGACTGTCTATATTTTACCGTGGACCGGAGTATTTATAACATTAAACAATCCTTGCGATTCATGGTCAAAATACGAAATATGGGCTTGACCAGTCTCGCGTGCTGCACAATATGCCCACCTTTGGGTTACCGACCGCCCACACGGAACAAAAAACTACAACTTCATGTATAATACAGGGAGAGAGATATCGCGACAAGACAATCGCCTAATTGACCAATTCAACGTGGCCACCAAAACAAACGCCTACAATAAAAAATGTATAGATTTATTTATTTATTTTTTTTTTTATTTTTTTGTTCTCATTATTCAGCTCTACACCTATATAATGTGCACAAAATGGCGTAGGCTATGTATAGTCATTGCAAACAAAAATTAATAGTATGCGGAATGTTACGCATTCGACTCGATTTTTGACGTCATATACAACACCCATTGATTATGTGTATTGCGAAAAGATTTTTCGCCAATCGATAAAATCGCAATAACAACGTTTACTAATCATTTTTCATCCACACGGAACCATTTTAGAATGTATTTGATATGTTTACTAATTATTTTTTACTATAGGAATACTATACATAAATACTTTGTGCGAGTATTATACACAACTTTGATAACATTACTTGACAAAGTAAAAAAAGTATATACTTTTATTTTTAATGCAGAATATTAGAGTAGGTAGAGAATATAATGTGTTTATAAAAAATACAATAATTATAGGTTTATTTCAATGATGAATTATAATTATACGTATTATACATATTGTATATCATCGATGATGATATTGTTTTTAGTTTGATTAATGCTGTATATTAACCGATCACAAGTAAATTGTATGTTATTTTCTATTTTCGTGGCATGTTTATTTATTACTCAATTAAAATTTTAACGTATTTTTATCCCACGCTTGAAGGAGTGGTGGGAAGCAGTAGTTTTTTTTTTTTTAAATAACTTTTAAGCCTATACCTTACCTTATCTTTATAAAATTAATTCATCAAATGTTTAGTTACTATTTAGTATTTTATTGCTATTTAAATTTTTTTTTAAGCTATTTCTACAGTTTTACTAATTTCACTTCTATATTATCAATTTGAAAGTGACTACATACCCATAAATTTATCTAATAAAAAACATATAATTTTATTCATCTGTGATATGATTTTAGATAGGTACCCGTTTTGTTTTGAAGATAGTTTAATTGAATGGGTTATTTAAAATTACTTAACTTATTGCGTATTTACTTCTGATTTAAAAATTATTTTTAGTTTTTACATTTGATATCATATTTCTGTTTCAGTGTAAGAATTCCAAAGTAGTTATTACTTGTTTCTAAGATATTTTACTTACACAATATGTATACCCTGTATTCCGTTTACAGTAAGAACGCTAGTTAAAGAATATTCTTATGTTACGTATCTAAAGGAATCCATACTCCTTTGATTATAAATTATGTTTTTGAGCAAAAATTTAAAAAAAAATAGAACTAAAATTGGAATTTAATTTCATTTTTTAGTCTATTGCTATCATTACTATTCAATTATTACATAAATAATGTATAGTGATAGGCGATGTAGTCAACTGTGCTTCAACCACGATCAACTAAGTATCAAAGTTAATATAAAGTGAATATACTCGATAATAATTTTTATATTACATCTTTATTTTTTTTTTGATTATAAAATTTCCAATTTTTCTAAATGTGAATTGTAAGTCTGATACTTTCATTCTGATTAGGTACCTAAATACTTAGATATATTTATTACCATAATAATCACGTACAATTAAATAATTCACTGAATAGATAATCAACAATCAACAGCTTACCCCGACAGCTTTAAGCGTATACGCTTATATCCTAACTAAAGGTACAATAACATATTTTTTGCTTATGAAGAATTAATTAACATTATAAATAAAGGCGCCTATTAAAATCGCGAAAAATAACAATTTCTTCTCGTAAATATAATTATACATAGTAAGTATTAATAATAGTAGATTACCATTAATGCCATTTTGTACTTTTGGGTTTTTGGATCACGTAGTAAACATAAACTATAGTTGACTCAAACCATTACCGACTTGTCGTGGCCGAGTTTTATTAGTTTCGTATCGTATCCATAAGTCGCTATATATTACGTAGTAGGTATTTTATATTTAAAATTTTCCAATCGTTATGAGATTCATAAAAAAACCATCAAATGATTGAACCGTTTAAAAAACACAAAAAGGTTAGATACAGTTAGACAATTAGTTAATGATTACAAAAATAAGGACAAACTAGAATACCTAAGAGGTATTGCCTCTTATCTATTATATCAAATTTAAATTTTATTTTATACTTTTTATATTATTAAAGTAATTCTATTTTATAATATTTTTGTGAAGGTATTTTTTTGTATATATACTTCGATCTTGTAAGTTTAGAAAAAATATCGTTTAGAATTTTTTATTTTTCGCTGTTTTTGTTTTTGCTTTAAAAATATTTCACGATTTTTATTTTCATTGTTTATTTTCTAAAGTTGAAACTATAGGTTCTATATTGACTATTAGTAAACATATTTAAAACAATAAAATATCATATTTTAGCTTCATAATATTATTATCCATTATGCAATAGTATTATATTATATAATTTTTAAAAAAAATTCTTGATATTTTTTTCACGAAAATTAAAAATGTATTCGTGAAAGTGTAAAATATATAATTAACGAAAATGTATTTTTGATATATTAATTTAAAAAGCAATTTTAACGAACGCGCTCAGTTAATATTTTGTATAGAGTAAATGTGGTATAGTGGTTAAGTAATAATAATAATAATGGTAATTAATAATACTATAAATCACTAATTATTATTTCTTGTAATATTGCAGTCTGCGCATTAAAAAACCCGCATATTTATACTCTTGAAATATTTATATTACTGTATAATACAGGCACTGTTTATTAAATACTTATGTTGCTTGAATGTTAAAACCAAACAAACGAGATTAATAAATTTATAATCAATACTGTCGATCAATTACTAATCGTTTTATTGCCCCCACGCATGTAATTACTAGCTAGTAATTACAAATAACAATATATATTATGATGTAAATGCAAATTGCACTGAATCGTAGCTAACTCTTAAATACATTATTATGCAATGTATGTCTAACTACTTTGTTAAACTTCATTTGAATATTGAACACGTATTTTTGTATTGAAATAGTAGGTTTTATTGCTAACCTATTTATCAGCGATTGGAACTTGATGGTCGATTATTTTTATTTAATAATTTACACATTTTTCATTGTCATCTTGTGTAATTGAAAATGTTTCAAATGGTACATTTTTAAATGGAGACATTAGGTTTTTCATAGTATGAGTAACAAAAACCGAATAACAAAAAAATTTTAAATGACTAAAATACGGAGGATGAATGCATATACATATAAGTATTGTTAATTTAATTTAAATATTTACTTATAAAACTTTTCTCAATCTACAGTATATAGAAAGCTCATAGGTGGTACTCGAGGTAATCATGATATGTGAACATGGATAATTGGATAGTGATACCAATATCACATATCATTTGTATGTAATGTTTATAAAGAATGTATATTTAAAGTTATGAATTTTTCTTAATTTATTACGCAAACAACTAGAAAAAATAACTATTAAACTTAAACTTTTGTAATGTTTTCAACTATATTCGTATGTATTTATATATGACTAGGTGTATATAACTTCTATTAATTATTATTTATCATATATGTACATATAACAATTATTTCTGAAATTGAATCATAAATGACCAACACAATATAAAAATATAAATATATAATGAATTTTGTAAATTATTTTATTTAAGTATTTAAATATTTTTTCTGATTGACTCTGAGTTTATATCATTAAAAATAAAAACAAAATCTTTGGTAAATATTCCAATTCAATTGCACGATGTCTAGACGTAGGCGTAACACCGATATAATTTATAATGGGAAAGGCCACTTGATAATATATTATGAGAACAAGACGTACACAATCATAATATGCAACATTCATAATACATACATTATTGTATTATACCTAAGAGCATCGTATACGTAAGGTTTAATTTTTAACAATGAATTTGTGTTCATTATTATTATATTATGAGTCTACGAGTCAAGGGCAAATACAAAATCCTAAAACATACATTAATTATATTAAACTATTTAAATGATAAACAATATGGTACAATAACTAATCGTAAAATCAATATGAAATTATGGTCGTTTCTGATATGACGTTTGTGATGATTGACATTTGCAGATTGGACCAAAATTATTTAATAACCATCTTCGTTGTGGCGTAATGGAGAACTTTGTGTAAAAGTAATCACTGATCTGTAGTAAAAACAAAACAAAAACATTTTTTTTTTTTTTAATTATCAACGGTTATATTAAAATAAATTTTATAATCTGCAAGCATTATAGATATATCTTAAAATATTCATAGTAATATAGGCTGATAGACTGTCTACGCTAAAAATCGTTTTTTCTTTTACAGTGATTTATCATTGAATTCTAAACTAATACATATACTATAATGACTTGTTCGACAACAAGGCGCACTCGACACTTGCTAACAACAGTATTGCAAAGCGGTAATCAACTTTTCCCTTTTATACTTCTAAGTCTCCAAAGTACCAACAAAATTCACTTGAAACATTTTTGGTGCTCTAAAAATTTTTATAAACACAATAAAAAAACAATTAAAAAAAAAAAAGACATATTTTAATGTAATATTAACACATTTATTGGAATGCTTAAAATTTTAAAGCTTATATGTATGTTTTAATATAGCACAACTAAAAATACTGTTCGTTCGCCTTACTCCCTCCCAATTAGCATAGCCAAAACAAATGCAATAGGCTTGTTTAATTTACTCAACTGTGCTTGAGTATTAACACATTTTTAAACATATCAAAATATATCATACTTTGGCTTACAAAAAGTTGAAATTGTTAATTATTTTACAATTACTCTTACACTAATGGTCGCCAATATTTGTAGAATAACAATGATTTTAATTTATTGTTACACCAATATAATTCGTTTTCCCATAATTTTAATAATAATCGTTAATATTTATTCAAATTCAATAACAGATTATCGTGGGACTATAGGTAATTTTTTTTTTTTTTATTTAATCAGATATTATAGAGTATTAACTTATTTTAAATTTAATTAACATGTATTTGGATGTTTGTATTACATATACAAAATAATGTGTTAGTTATTTAATAGTTAGCTTATTAATAACGATCGGTACGTCTTATAAGTGATACGTCGAAATATCTTTGACAAAACCTTTTGAAAATTAAATCATGCAGAGAAAATGATAAAATAAACATTTAGTGAAAATATCAAGTACCTATCTTGGATTATTTATGCATGGTTAATATAAATTACAAATATTACTTTTAATAATCTATCATGAAACAAATTTGAGTGAACAATGCTATCAATAGTCATCAAATACTTTCATTATTATTTTAAATATTTAGAATAAAACAGACTTTTACCATGATATATAATAATCACAATCTTGAAATTTTACGCTAGGTACACAGTGGTTTCCAATATACTATAATTATTTTATCATTATACTCATTTAAATCGGAAACAAATAAAATAAAAAACAAATAAATACATTGTGAAATACTAACATTAGCAGACACTGTAAAATACTTCAGAATTATTCACGTTAAAAACATCAACATCGGTACTCACATCAAAAATTACTTCAAAAAATTATACTTGAGTTCGGAAATGGTTTACCTAGCAATTAACAGGAAAAGTTCGTTTCTAATAAAAAAAAAAATTTAAGTTTATTGCGTATAACACATTGAATGGTCGGTATTAGCGTACAATGATAATATGTAATGGAATCAATTCTATTGAAGTCAAAATGGGCAAGTATGGAGGTCTTGACAACAGTAAGGCACACAATATATTATTTAATTTATTGTAAGGTGGTGGTAACCGATAAATGTTGTTATGTTATAAGAACAAGCACAGTTGAGTAAATTAAACAAGCATACCTACTACATTGTTTTTTATTTTTTTTTTATTTTGGTACCAGCGACACAGCAACTAGCAAGAACTCGTATTGCTAAGTTGTAAAGAGTAGGGGGTTAATGTACAAGATATTTAAGCACATACAAATACGTACATTTAGTAGATTCTTGATTTTACATTTACAATGATGTTATTTATTTATTTTTTAAGCAGATCGTTTTATTTTTATCATTTTTATTATACGATAGTTTATTATTAAATTCAAATTTAACACATACATTACAATAACTTACTCAATGAAGATGTACTGTCGAAAACTACCGTACAGTGAAGCAGTTATACCTACATTCCCTTATTTTTACTAAAAAATGTATGGTATTTATCCACTTTACTTCTCCACTACTTAGCATAGCCATATTTACTAGTTGTGTTTTCGTTGAATTCCAAAAACATAAATGCAGAAGTCTTATTTCATTTACTCAACTGTGCTTGTTCTTTTAACATAATAAACATGTCGTAAACAGCTTACAATAAGTTAAAACAATTTATTATTTTACTTTTGTTCTTACGCTGATGATCACTAACATTCCTAACAGAACAATGAATTTAATTCATGGTTATACCAATATAATTTTTATGGTAATCATAAACTATTCAAATTCAATTGACAACTATCGTGGAATTATAGGTAATGAATTTATTTTATATACTTACTCAAATATTACATTCATATAACTTGTTTTGAATATTATTGTTAACAATTTAGATGTTTTAGATTCTGAGTGAAGCGTTTAAAGTATTAACTTTTTCAATGATCGTTTTATTATTTTTTATTTTGTGTCATCAACAGTCGTAGCATTAAAAATGAAAGATTGTCAACTTTAATGTCTTTTTTAGTAAGAAAGTAAATTTATTTGGTACGTTGGGGGTCAAAAGTAAGAAATGCACAGTATTTTATTAAATTATTGATAAAAACAAAAAAAAAAACAATTTGGGGCTTACAGAACTTTGTATGCTAATCCAATTTCTGACAAAAACAATTTTCTTATAATATTGTAATTTAAAAATTATCATAAGTTACAATGATATTTCAACGACGAGATACACTCGACACTTACTACTATATATAGCAGATAGGTTATCTTCTTTCCTTTTTTTTTTATTTTTCATATGCAAATGTCTATTCAACATCCAATAATAAAAAAAAAAAAACGATAATCATAACCTTTCTTTAAAGAAATTTTCAGATTAATATAATTCCATTTTCTATTAACCCTGATTTAATATGAATATTTTAAGATGTTTCATACATGTTTTTATATTTTGGTTTGATTTCAATAAACAATTTTACTTAGTTAATATTTTAAAGCTTTTTGCATTTTTTTTTTTTACAATATCGTTGATTTTAGTAATCATTGAAAATATTTTAAATATGACATCGTAAAAAAATAATTTTAAGTTTTAATAAAATAAAAATATTGTATGTATTTTATTATTATAATTATTATGAGTGCTACTTATAATTTGTTTTTGACTTTTTATATCTTTTTGTTACAGATCAATATAATTCAAATCCCACACATACAATTAATAATGAATATTTATGCTACTCGACTTCATTATATCCATATCATCAATGTTAGTATTTTCACATTACTACATATAAAACATTTTATACCACGTTTATTTCAAATTTATTTTGATAAATATTTTTTTTTCTACATTTAAAATACCTTCAAATAATATCTAGTACCTTCATAATTAAAATAGTGAGTTCATGTTATGGGCGTGTTAAATTGTCTGATAAGAGTGCGTTAACGATATATTATTATTGTATAAAAAAAAAAAACGATTCTGAGTTGAATCGGTCTCTCACTAATAATTATATTTCTTAATAATGTTTTTAATATAGTTTTTAAAATAATTTATTTTATTTTTAATATTACGGTTGGTTAGAAGAATTTTTTTTGAAAAATTACATTTATTATACTATAACTATTTAATTATTATAACAATATTTATACCCTATTAATGACATCCTTCTATAAATACTGTAAAACAGTAAAAATAGGTACATATAGCATAAATCAGTGGTTTTCAAAAATAAATAAGTAATTTCGTCCAAATTAAAATATAAAATGTTTATAAAAAAAATTATCTTTATACAATTTTAAATTTTATGATTTCAGTTTAAATTATATTTGATGAATTTATTGTAGTAAATCTTAGATACAAAAATACAAGCTTTTATGAATTTTTAACTTCAAAATAGTTTGGAATTTATGCAGTTTTGACAAATTTCGCAAATATTATCACAAATGTATACGAGATCCCCACATAATTTATTCTTATATCTGTATAAAAATATTAAAAACATATAGGCATGATTTTTTTGTATATATTAATATGAATCAAACTAAGTGCCACTAATGAATGACTGCTTAATCAATTCTTTTATATCAACATCCACCCTTAGTATACAAACTTATTTAGCATTTGTGTATAGATTGTTTATTTCAAATAAAAAAAATTTAAAAATAATATGCATTTAAAGTTAGAACTTTGAAGAAATTCATTAAAACTTTTCTATTTAGATCTAAAATTTTAAAATTGAATACAAGGTTATTCATTAGTAGTTCATGCTCCATTACTCCAACAATAAAATCTAAAAAATTTATAAAAACAATTATTTTTCTATAAGCATTCTAAGTTACAATTTGGACGATATATTAATCATTTATTTTATAATTTGAAAACATTATTCGTGAGAATTGAACTTTTATGTACTTTATATTATTATAAATTTTACTATATTATTATGCAATAATATTTTTGATTCATTTTAAAATATTATTTGTTTATACTAGGTACTATGAATTTATTTTTATTGTTTTACAGTATTTATAGAAATATTTTATTACATTTTAAGTTATATAAGTTGATATAATATGGTATAAATATATATTATTATAATAATTAAATACTAATAATATAATAAATGCAATGTTTTCGGAAAAAATTAAATCAACCTAACGTAACACTATAAGTAAAATAAATAATCTTAATAGCCATCAAAATAACATATAATAAAATACACTTAATGATAATGCCTTACACATAGTCTACGCGCAGAAATGTTTTTGTAGACAATGATAATAAATATTAGAATTAAAATTTAACATCCCCATAATAGTGACCCACTCAACAACTAATTTACAACAGAGTGGAATTTACTTACCTATCTTTTTTTTCTTTATTGTTATTACTATTTTTTTTTTTTTTTTTTTTGACACTTAGATACATTTTTAAACAATTTTTTTATAATCAAATCTACTAATAAAAACTTTTCAAATAAATTGATCGTTGTACAATTCATAACAAATTAATATAATTTTAGTCAATCAAAAGATATTAGAACCAGAAGATTTCTATTTGTCATTATACAGTAAGTTGTCTTAACTTTTATTTTTTTTAAATTAATTTAATACACAATATAATGTTTAATATACAATTATACAAATTAAGTTTTCATCAGTTACAAAAATATCATACCAAATATAAATGCATGAATAAATTAATATTAGAAGAAACCAATTTATTAGATCTCTATCATAAAAATAAAGGATATTCAAAGAAGTTATCATATTTTATTTTAAATTTGAATAGAGTATATTACTGCTCTATTCTTACTGAGCCAATTGCCAATTGGTATGTTCCAAACGCTTCAGCTAATGATTGCTGAACCACTTTTGGTGCGGTTCTTAACGCAATCTTTAAAATATGTCTTATCGTGTCAGATAATACCATATTTTAGAGTACAATACTATTTAGTGATATTATATAAAGCATATTAAATCAGGGGAAATAACTATAATTTATACTTGGATCAGCTTCACAAATATTTTAAATTCATTTAATTTTTTTTTTATTCTCTTAATGCATTATTTAACAGATCCTTATTATTATTGTAAGTATTGAATTCAAATAATAATTATCTACATAAAATGTATAGTTTTTTAAATGTTTGAAAGCATCCATCCTTCACTTTAGCAACAATAATTTTATTGGTAGAAATCAGGAAGCTATTTTAAATAGATTGAAGCAATATAATGCTGTGGTTTCCTATTCATTAAACATAAATATCTATATACTGAATATTCCCTAACTAAAGGAACTTAATAAGATTTATCAACTATCGAGGCTTTCAATTCTAAATTATCATAGAACACAGACTTCTATGTCTGTGTAGTGAAGTTAAGAATACAACTATAAATAATTAAGTAATTTCGTATAACCTATGTAAACAATAGCAAAAGTATATTCGATATATTCAGACATACATGATTTTTAAGATTCGTCTTCATCACTAAAAAATAAAACTTATAAATTATCCGAATTTTGGAACCTTTAGACTCGTTAAATATTAAGTATAACCTAACCTTAGCTTTCACTTTCCGAGAAAAAAATTTACATTATTAGAAAATCGTCAAAAATTATATCATTTTCTATAATTAACTTTTTTTAATATTTAAATTATATAAATGTCATAATAATTAAAGTTGTATTAAACAATGCAAAATAATTTAAATTTAAACCTCAATTTTGAAAAAAAAAATCCGTTAAGTAGGAAAAATTATGCGATTTTTATGCCATTATAACAAGTGACGACACATGTATTTTGTATCTTAAAAAAAAAACAAACAAAACAAAAAGTTGAATACCGATAGATACATTACATCTATCAATAGAAAATAAAAGCTGTCTTAATTTTTTTTTCAGTTATCTCGTATAGAGATTTCAATTCCAACTGTGAAAAATATCTAAGTAAGATTTTTAAACCATTATATTAGTTTCGTTTATAGTAATTTTTATAAATCATCAGTGGAATGATTAATTTATTGATTTTAGAATGATCTCTTTTTAATTTGAGTACTTATAGTAAAAAATCTTTGATTTTCAATGGTACTTTTTGGAGGTAAATTGCTTTTTAAAATAATGGAGAAAAACAATATATCAGTGAACAATCTTATAAATTTAATAAAAGATTTTTCACAGTAAGTTTATACTGGAAGCAATTTACTAGATAATTTACAAAGCATGTAAAGTTCCAAAAGTTCCAGTTTTATATAATAATGAATTTATTTAAATCCATAAATATACTTAAAGACCAAATTTTCAGATTTTTAAGTAGTATAGTTTTTTTACTGTTTTTTGAGTGTAAGTGATGATACCGATAGCATCTTGGAACTTTCTGTATTTTAAATGGGAATTTCCCTTTTTTACTTAAAATTATTTAGTGAATAATAAATGAAATAATGAACAACTTCACTCGATAAGCATAAGAAAACTCAAAATTAAATTAAATTTATGAACTAAAATTGGCAAGTACCCTTCCTATTCTTCATTTTAAGCCAACCTTTCAAATTTTACCAATACTACTTCAAGTGAACAATCTATAAATCTCTATAGTATTACCCATAACACTTACACTAGTTTCTAACAAAACCAATACTAAAGTCTTTATATTAAAAAAATATATACACTCCCTCTAGATAAAAATATTATCGTATTATTCAAAACATCACAAGTAAAATAAATTATACGTACACTTCAAAAGTCAAAACAGGATTGGAATCGCAGTAACATGGAACAACACGTAATTTATTTTTATACTCTCCAGCTCTAGTTTCTACAGCAATCTATGGTCCTGATAAAAGCTCAAAATCTAATTACCAAATATAATTTCCAAGACATCATTTTTTTCTCAGACTCCCTGAGTAATATCAATAATATAAAAAACATATTTAATTAATCAGATATTAGATTAAATATTAAAAATCAAAATTACATTTTGCAAAACAATAATAAATATGAGATTGAGCACTTTTAAATTCTTGGATATTCTAACAAAAATATTGATAATATTAGTATAAAAATTTTTAAATATTTTATCATGTTTATAATATATATATCAAAGCAACAAAAAAGTTTATAAACTATATAAGTAGTCTATAAAAAAAAAGTGACACAAACGAGTTCTGGTTCTCCAAAAGATAAGTTCTAAATCTATTACATACCACAGTCTTTTATCTATAATAAGTAAGTTCCTAATATATTTTAGTATATATAATAATACAAGTTTAATGCTTAAATTACCGAAAATTAATTTTGTAGTTTCTGTTATTTTTGTTTAATAAATTATAAATTTAATTTATTTTTTTGTCTTCAGAAAACACATATGATTTTATAAGAAATGAGTCATTTTCATTAGTAGCTGAGGATGAAGGTGAGTTGTTTTGTATAATGGTTGACAGTATTATGTGGCTAGTTTAGTAAAATTTTTAATTCAAAATAAATTAAATCGTCAAAATTAATATTTTTAGATCGAAAGTTTACTGGCGTTTATCCTAAATATTGGCGTAAAAGATCAGAATTCTTTGGTAAATTTATTACAGTTTATTATATCAACATATAAAATAACATTGTAATTAATATATAATACAATTAATATTATATTTATGTCAATATTAATTTTATATATTACATAACTTATAATTTTCAGAAATAAATAGAAAAATGGTAAAGTTTTGTACTACATACAAATTAATGTGTGAGTCATTTGATAGTTAACTAAATAATGTAATATTAGAACAATAACAGACAAAATTATTGATGGTTAAAATTTAAATAACTAACGCTTAACATTTTTATCAACAATATTCGAAAGCAGAAAAATATAAAGGTTACCCATATTATAATACATTATTATTTCTCATTGATGCGTTATAATTACACATATTTTAAAACAATGGTTACTACAAAAATATTTTCTTAAAATTAAAATAGAACTTTGTAGGAAGATAATAAAAACTCATATTTAAACGCTTTTAAATAGTTATAATAACTTACTATCCATATCAAACACGCGAGTATAATATGGACGTAACATAACCTGTAAAGTGTACAATTTACCATAAAATATTTTAAGAAATATATATCTAAAATAAATTAGATGATATTAAATTGATTTTTCAGATATATTTAATAGAAATTCAGTGCAATTCTATGGTATGTATATGTGGTATCATCTTTTATAATTTGATCTATTTTGTATTTTTATTTCTTTCGGTGGATAATCAATAATTTTTTGATAATTGTTGATAATAATTTACTGTCAACATGACGACGTAAAACACGTTAGGGTTAAGTGAAGAATATCGTAATGTCGCTTAGTTAATGTGCAGGGTAATGACTAATAACGATCGGTACTTAAAACAAATTTATGATACGATAGGTAGTAGGTAGGTACTGTAAATAAAATGTACGATTGCATTTTAAAAATAACATCACACAACTATTCCATCAATAGTAGTTTGCTGAGGACAAAAATGATTGTATAGGTATCCCCACCTTATTGGGTACCAAAAATGAGAAAAATTGTAAAAAATAAAAAATCAACACCTCTTGTTCTTATTTGCGTGTTGTCCAAATATTTTTATATTCCCTTTTCTTCTCAATAGCCAGTGATTTTAATCGCATTCTTCTATATTCCAACTCTTTATTTTTTCGGTTATTAAAAGTTTGAGCATTTCATTAAGTGATTTTATTTCTGTCATTGTTCACTTTACAGTTCATGTTTTAATTGACTATTTCAATTTTTTGTTTCTTCTTAATTTTGGTCTTATTCTATTTATTATATTCCACGTAGTGCAAATTAGATCATGACCATGTGAGAGGGATTATGTTTACCTCCTGTAACTAGTTTTTGTTTTTTTAAACGTTCATGGTTGTTTTTTAGAAAATTCAATATGTAACTTTCATGAAATAACATTTTGATTATAAGTAGCTTTTACTTTGTTCTGTGGTAAGCAAATAGTTCCTGGGGTATTATTGCTTCTTTTAAATTTTTGTTTATTATTGCAATGAACATAATATGTATGAAACCATTACTGTATTTTAATATTGTATTCTTATGTACATGTGTGTGTGTGTGTGTGTGTGAACCATATTTGACTACTTAATCACATTTATAATAATACTTTAGCTTTTAGTATATTAATAAATAAAAAATACCCAAATGTGAATAATATTGTATCCATTTTTAAAACGTCAAGAAGTATTACATTTTTTTTCTAATGGATTACATGATCTGTTTATAAATAATACTAAATAGTAAATGTTTAAATCGTTTATGCCAAACTTAATTATTTTTAAGTAGCTATCTGGTTTATCTGGTTAATAAATTTGTTTTTACTAAAAAAATTAATATATTTTAGGAGAGGATGTGTCACGTCAAGTGTCTAACAGAGGTAAATTAATTGCAATTATTAATAAATATATATAACGTTATACTTTGAAAAAACTAAATTTATTTACATTTTCAGCACGAAAAAGTGGCCTAAAACAAAGTAATTAAATTTGACATTTAATTTTAGGCAGCAAAACTAATAGTCAACTTCATGTTATAGTCTACAACATTCTGAAAAGGGTTTAAAATAAATCGATAATTTTTTGACTAGTGTACTTTAAAAAGTGTTTTAATAATAAATATCTCATAACTTAATATGAATGCATTAAAGATCGTTTGAGTAACAACATTTATGCACATAAAACACTAATTCCTAAAAATTATAATTTCGTTATAAATTAATTAATGTTTTTCATGAATTATCAAATCTTCATTTTTAATAAGTATATTTTAATATAATCATTTTTTTTTTTAAGTACACTGAGTTTTTTGTCTAAAATTGTATTTTGTATATTTTAAGGTATTTAATTTAAAATAAAATGTATTCAACAAAAAATTCTTCTCAAAAAAAAAAAAAAAAAAAAACAAACAAACAAAAACACACCGAACGCATCATTGTAAAAGAGTTAATAATTTATGGTATTTCCTAATATAATATGTCTCTTATTTTCCGCTAATAACAATAAATTAAATTCGTGTTTATATTTATAAAATATAAATGTTTATAACTAAATAAATAAATAAAACAAAACAAAAAAAAATACAATAGATAAAACATATTTAAAGCATATATCATTGTATTGGTTGTTTTATTTATAAATTTGTAAAATACTATAAATAAATATCACAAAGTTCGTAAAAATTTTCCCAATTTAATTCAACTAGGAAATTTTGAGTTATCTAAACATAGAAACAAATAAAAATTAAGGGTAAACGGAAATTTTTACCCAAAATTATTTTTTTTGTCAGTCTTTACAGTGACGCCATACTTATTCACCATTAAACAAAAAATTCAAAATACAATTTTCAGTGCAAAGACCATGGAATCTATGTATCTTTCATGACTGAAAAAGGATATTATTGGTCAATTTTATGCCTTATATAGAATATTTGAATTTACTCAGTTTTCTTTTCCGTGCTAGGTTAGGTTAATTTTATTAAAAAAAATTATTAAATTTTCTCACGATTCAAAAAGACTCGAAGTTTTTCGTGATGAAATAATAAAATCAATTATGTTATAATAATTGATAAGTGCTAACAAAAATTATTCGATTAATTTAACTATTTTGCAGCAATTCAAATTCTATGCGTCTTAAGTCTAGGCCGATTTCGTGAGGCAACATGCCGTTGCCTTGCCGAAATCTTGCTGGATAATCTATAGTTTCCTTGTGAATAATGAAACATTCCTTTTTTAAATCTAAAGCATTTTTCTTATAATAACTTTCTGTAATTTTATAGACATTCTCTTTCTTTTTTTTATTACTCTAGGTTAAATTACATATTTATTTGTATAATGAATAATTAAAAATAATTCTGTCGTTTTTATGTTTTTATGGAGAACTGGATACGACTGATATAATAATGACGGATAAAGGTATTCATTTCAAAACATTTAATTAATATTTAAAAATCATTGTTTTTAATTATTACCTGCAGCATCCTGTAGGTATAGTTAATAACTATTAATAGCTATCTAAATAATATTGATATAAAGTTAGAAAAATAATCGTGTTATTTTTATTATTAATTTTTTAATTTTTATATTAAAGTTAAATAATAAAACATGCATTTTTATAAAGTGTTACATTTTATCAACAGTTTTAAAAAGAAATCCCATTGATGCGGGTAATATTAAGCTTATATTTTTATTATTTTTTTTTTTTTATTAAAATATAAAATATAACATTTACAATCTGTATATAAAAAAAAAATACAATAAGCAAATATGATAACAAAATATGACGGACAATAAAACGGCGAGTAGGGAAGCTATCCAGTGATAGGACCCATAAGCTTATATTTTAAAATTTAATTGTAATTAAAAAATATAGAATAATATAAATATTTATATTATTCATTATCCTTATATTTATAAGGATAATTAAACGATTTTCTACAATTAAAAATGATCGAAATTGTTGAATCAAAATTCAGAATGAAGTACTTTTAGAATGTGCAATAAAGACAATTTAAATTAAGTTAAATCTCTATATGAAATTATACATAAATCTGAATCAATTACAGTAGTATTGAATGAAAGAACATTCAGCAAACTAAAATTAATTTAAAATTATTAGTTTAATACATATGAAGAACGATTAAATTCACTAATGATTTTAAATTCAAAAAGAACATTTTAGACGATTTAAACTTTTCACAGATTTCAGAGCTGTAGACAACGTTAAAACAACGTTTAATTAAAATATAATTTGTTTTTATTTTTTAATTGTTTGTTACCTTTATAAATTTATAATATTATAAATCAAATTACCAGCAAGAAGTGTCCCTTTTATCGTGTGTTTATTTTTATTTAATCTATTGTTTTGATAGCTATAATAATATTATTATTTTTAATATTTAAGGAGTAACATTTAAAAAATTTTTAATCTTGTCGTAGACGGCCAGAATTTATGTGTTAGTCGTAATTAATTAAGGGTTTGATACTCAATATGTGATTTATTTATACTAACGTTTCTAAACGACATTACTTTAGCAAAAAAACTATAGTTGGCATTTTTAATAAAGTTCAACCTCCTTAATTTTCATTTTCGGGACGGGTCTAATTATATAATTTTAATTGAAATGTGTTATTAATAAGATTATCAGAATGTGGATATAACATTGAAAATTAATAATATATTTTGCAGTTGATCCAAAGTTTTACAAAATAAATGAAAAGGAATTTAAGATTCTAAAAATACGTAAGTTTGATAAAATGACTAATTATATTTAAATAACATATTTAAATGTCAGACATAATAACAACTAAGCCCTAAAAGCCAGTAAATTGAATGTCGGGCTTCCTAGAATATTTATACTGGCTTATCTACTTCATCTGGAACACAGAAAATCAGATGTAGACACACAAAAAAGAATCATTATCTTTGTAGCGTGCGCACAGTCACTTCAAAGTCGTCGTTTGAAATTATTATTCTTAAGACAAGCATAGTTGCAACAAAAGTTTATTCATTATGACTCAAATTAATTTTATATAGTGTACCCAAGTGTATGATGTGAAGAGTGAAGACGCTGTATACTCGATCACTATGATACATCTAAAAATGCAGAATGCAGTTGTACTGCGAACTTTCTTGTATATGGCGTTCCCATTCCTCTTTTACTAGACTTAATGGTATCCTTAATAATTTAGTCACAGCCCGGTTATTGCGTCTTTTTGAAAACTATTTAATTATATGCGGCTATCATGTATGTTAAATAGATAGGAGCAAATATTCGTAAATTGTATATTGATACGTTATTATAACAATTGATTCCGATTTTCATATTTATATCATGATTTATGACCATTTGGTCAAGCAATTTCCAGGTTTTGTAGTTATTCAGAAACAGAATATTTACCGATAGTTTTTACAATCATTAATTAATGATACACCTTTAATAGTTCTAAACAGTATAGGATAGTATATTTACTTAATTATTAAGTAAAAATTAATGCGATTATTTTAATTATTTCCAGTCATGAATCGTAAGTTATTTTTACTTATATTATGTTTGTATTTAATTTAATTTAACTTTAACTATAATCCATTATTAATTAAAATAAATTTTCCCATACTAAATTATTTAATTTAGAAATTGACTGATATAATAGGAGCATTAAGAGCACATAACATATTCTTTTTCATATTTATTTATGTATTTTAAAGTTAGAAACAAAGATATTACTCGTAATATTGATTTTACAAACATAAATGTATTTGTTGAATGATTTTCATAGTCACTTTTTTGTTAGCAATACTGGTAGATCACATTCATTAATTATAGAAAATTTTTATAAATTAATTAGTAAACAATCTTAAAATAAATGGCACCTATAGTAAATTTTATAATTTTTATCAATTTTAAAACATTTTATAATCGAATTATGCATACTTATTTTCAGTCCTACCTAAAAACGACGAGTCACCAGATAATTATTTGATGAGACATTATAAAACAGGTATTTCAAAATTATTTTAAGTAATATGATTTTAAGGAGTAACAATAAATTATTATACTATTGTTGCTTCTTTTTAATTACAATTGGAAATTACGCATAGTTATACAATATTTTGTATCAACCAGGGACTAAAACGGTACTGAAATTATCAGTTCTTAGAGAAAATCTAAGGACCGGGAACTTTTATTAGAACACATATTTTACATTGCATAAAATCAGAATTTATTTAATAAAACAAAAATTTTTGAAGCTCTTTTAGGTTTTTATCGGTTCTAAGAAATTATTGAATAATTTTTATAAATTGAGTTACTCGTATTTTAATCAAATAGTAACTAGTATTTTCAACTCGGAATAATCATATTGTACTTGTACGATTAACAACAATTAATTTACAAACATACGGGTCGCATTTTTCATTTATAATATACAGGGGTTAAAGCGGGAGTACGCAGGGGGACTCGGTCACTAATGGTGGTTAAAAAGCGTCCCCTTAAACAAATTATTTGTAAGGTACGCCGGAACGCTCCAATTATAACCAAACGTTAGTCAATATAATTCACAATTATTCCGTTGAGATTAAATCTTGGTTTTTATTATTATTTTTATCAATTGTTACTTTACTTTTATTAAATGTATTCAATACAAATTATGGACTATCTAATATAGTATGACGTATAAAAACTAAAAATAATTGATTTTATTAGTTATTGGAAATGGTTATAATCTGATAAATAGATATTCGATTAGTCGATAACATAATGATATTATCTAAAATTGAGCTTTATGTATTCATGATATACATATATAATTATATAGGTGAACTGTGAATGTGTGATTTTTTAAGCATAGTCATCTAACCAAGTGTAGAATTTGAATTTTTCTGATATATTTTAAACCATTAAAAAAAAAACTATATTTGTGTGATATAATTATTATAATTTGTCGGACTGATTTCTTTAGTTTCCTTAAAAGACAATCACTACTTAAAACTTAATATTATTAGAAAAAAATATTTTTTTTCTAAATAATAAATTTGTATAGAATATTAGTTAATCTTAAAAAAGTATTAAAATTGATATAATTGATTTAAATTTTTCATGAAATAAATTACGAATTTGAACATTCTTTAGGGTTAAAAGTAGGATGAGTATGTTACACAATCACTGTTTAATGTTAATACATTACATAATGTACTTTATGCATTGGAAATTATACATACAATACAAATGGAACGTCTAAAACTATACGGAGACATTAGTCCCCCCCCCTGAAATTTTTTCCACTTTAAGCCTTGACAATATAACAAGAATAATGGAATAACAATGATTGGTTTTCTCACGAGTTATTACGAATGATAATATTTAGTTCTTTATAATTTTATACTCTATCTTTTGTTCTCTCACACATTCACAGTTGCACGCCCACATATACGAGTCGCATCTGCAGGTAGCGGCCGATTATATATTATATTATACTTATTTTTGTGTTCTGTATTTTATTATATTCAATGTGGGCTAAGTTTCAACGTCCATTGTTAAAAAAAAATTAATTCTGCCTTCTGCGTCTATCTTATTAAATTATTATTTAATAGGTACAATTTATCTTAAACTATTTCCTAAAAAGGTTCATATGAAATTTATATAGTGATAGTGATGTAGGTTAATTTATTATTCAATACCTATACTATAGTGGCTTAAAATTAATATCTTATTTATTTATAAAATAATATCTATTGACTTACGTTAAAAGTACAAAAGTGATCTACCTAGTATCTAATACACACACTTTTGTAAAATGTAATGTAAAAATGTTTATTTTTGAGAACCGGTATCAGTTTTAATCGGAACCGGAACCGAAAAAAAACATGACGTTTCCAGTCCCTGGTACCAACTACCAACTTTTAAAGGACTAATTAAAATGTAAAACATATACCTAAAACAGATTTATCTGAATTCTACAAATCAAATCTAACTTAATAACTAAATATTTTTTAACATTTTATATTTTTAACATGTAGTCATGACTTATACACTCTAAATTCTTATCTGGTTTATAAATGGCAATACTTATATAGTCATCACCCGACATTTTTATTCAAACAAAATACTAAATTTTTGAGGATAGATTTAGTGTATTCACTAAATGATATGTACAGGTACTTATAATTAATTAATAATTGACAAACCAATAATGTTATCTAATGAATGTTTTGTTTATGTTTATAAACACATAATATAATTTATTAACTTAAATATATTTTGTATGCAGTGCAGTTATTATGTAAGTACATTTTTTACTTACTACACACAATAGTAAATATTAGCAATACTACAATATTTTATGTTCTAAACTAAAAATCAAATTTATAGTATATCTTAACAAAAATGTTGTCAACTACATTCAGAAACAAGAAAAACGTAAGTTAAAATTCTTTCTCGACAACTAAAAGTAATTTTAATAGCTACCAAGAAATCTCATAAACATTCTTTGATTTAATTTGATTTTTTTTTCCTTTTCACTTTTGTTAATTCGTAACTGTTATTTGCAAAAAAAAAAAAATTAAAACATTTATTGAAAAACTATTTCTTTAAAATATCAACGAACTGAAATTTATAATTAATAAAAAGTTTCGCAACATTTTTAAAACAGTTTAAGAATTACCAAATAAATATCGAAAATGTTCTAATAATATTCTAATAGCTCCTATTAAAACTTTAAATACTTGATACTAATATATATTTTTATAAATTAATATTTACAGAATTTCATAACGAAGGTCAGCAATCTTATAAAACTAGATTATAAAATATTCATAAACATAACTATAAGTATTTTTTAAAGGATTAGTTATGAATAAAACAATAATAATATACTATTATATTTTATTATTATTCAAAGATATAGTTGCATCTTACCATATTTTTAAGTATTATCATACTTTTATGTGTTATTATTCACTAAAATATATCTTAAACATGAGTCAACGACAGTGACTGGCCTTCCGATTAGAAATACCACAATACAAACACTAATAGGTAATGTATAATAAAATAAACCAGTGGACTTATTAAAAAATGTATTTAGCGGATAAATAAATTTAAATTAAACCAAAATAATCGGAACATCTCACATGATTAACCACAGTATATAATATTATAAATTTCTAATTGCAAAAAACGCGATAGAAAATTAGGCGACGAGAACAATTTGTTAATATTATATAATCCAATGACTGGATGACAACTATTGATTGTTGTTATACAATATACTCCAACAGTCCATCTTCGCAACTGGAATGATCAAACGCTTTTGCTTTTTGTAACTCGAGCACTCTCCGTCTCTCAAAGCAAACAATTAGGCTTACTGATAAAATGACTTGCAAAATACATACAAAAATTCGCAGTGAAATAGATTATATGCTATATGAAAAGTTCAAACCCGATAGTAATAATAGCTCGGCACTGTTCAAGTTTATAAAGTCAAGAGTATGTATATCTTGCACAGATATATAGTTGAGTAATGTAAAGATAAAGTACTACAAAATTAAAAATATATTTTCTTTTAACTAAACGGTAAAAAAATATTGATACTTTGTCTTGTAATACTAAATTATCCGTACTAGGTTATTAGTTGAGGGACTAATTTTATTAATTTTTATTGATATTATCAATTAACCAAGCTGGAAATTACGCTGATTGAAACTTCGCTGGCTAAGAACTTGTAATTGGCAAAGGTACTCTCTGACCACTTTTTTAAGAAAAACTAAGCGTGTTGATGAAGAGACCTCCAGCGTTGGTGTATATTGACATTATCGGTCTCCATATATAGCTCTAGAACTGAGAACAATAGTTGACCAACTAAACAAAAAGCCTGATGTTAAACACTCCAAGTCATACGTGTCCGATGATTATGTTACCTACGATCATAAATTTAAAACCACCTTGTCTCGGCATAACACAACTGTCCAAGCACGCCGAATAACAAAATATTTGTTAATAAAAAAATTTCTGAATGGCCGCGTAATTATTACACAGAAAATTATCTAACAATAATATAATATAGTAATTTTATCGACAAGATTTAATTCGACCTACTGTAAAACCAAAAAAATACAAATGTCATATAAGTTTAAATATACTATGAAATATACTCAACGGGCCTGTCACTATGTCTTCACCCAGAATTGTTTTTTGTATACTAGTATTTATCGTTAGGTTCTAATTTAATACGTTGAATAAGTTTGCGCACCTGACGATGAAGTATAGTTAAAAGCTGCTGTACAGATAAGGGACTTTCTCAGTATTTTTTTTATTAATTTAACGATTTCTCCTGTTTCGACGTTAACTAACTTATTTTGTTATTTTTAAGATATTTTTTAATACTTAATATAATAATAATATTTTGTGTATTTTTATTAAATTATTTTTAGTGAAAATGATGAGCAAAGATCGAGTGAAAAATCTAAAATCACGTATGCTATTCTACATTTATGACCGGGCGCAAACCAAAACAGTACAACATAGTAGTTATTTTTTCCACTGCATTGGTGTGCGCCCAACCTACTATTTACGTAAAACATAAAGATTATTTTCAAACAAAATTTAATTAACTAATACTCTATAGAACTATAGGTAATCTTTACCATGAAATTCTACAGGATTTCAAACATTTATTATACATATGTATAAATTAATAATAATAAGTTATAATACACAACACGGAAGACGGACAATATTACGCAAATAATGAAATATCAATTAGCTTTGAAAAACATTTTTTAATTCCATTTCTTTGTTTTTTTAATTTTTAATTTTTACATACATCTATTATCACTGTAACCATCTTTAACTTTTGTTTTCGAAAAAGAATATCAAAACAACTATTGGAAAACTACTTAAATCACAGAATAATAACTAAAATTGACTAATAATTTATTTCGAACCCTCCTTCTGAATTTTAAATTCAAAATACGCATTCATTTTATATGTTATTGTTTGCAGCACATTTATTAAGGCGTGAAAGCTATAATTTTTACGTAATGAGAATGAAAAATATAAGTAAGACATTAATTAATTTACGAATTTTTAGGTTTTGATTGTATAAATACTTATTGCAATAACAATATGAAATACACTTTTTAAATTCTAAGTTATGAATACTAAATATAATTGCATTTTTATCATTATTTTAAGTATTATCCTATTTTTATATATTATTGATTAACAATTTGTTTATAGAATATTATTTAATATAAAATACAAACAATAGATCTTTTGTATCCGTCAATTGTCACACATGTCTGAATATTATGATAGTAAGATAAATGTCCATAATTATCAATTTATCATAACATTATTATTCATGGTTAAAATATTAAATTAATTTAAAATGGTACGATGAACAATCGCAAAACAAATTTAAAAATAATATCACAATAAAACCTTCATCGTTGTTTTTAATACTATCAACTATGAACTAAACACATTTTGATCCATGTCCTATATTCTCAATCTTTGAATTTCTAGTGCATATTAATAAACTCTACGAATGAAGCAGCAATGAACCGTTTTGTTAATTTGTACTTCATTAGAACAGAAACAAATTAAGTATCCCATAGTTATTTTATCATAAGATATGGGATTCAATTAATTTTACTTTGGCATCTTATATCAAAATATATAATGTCTGTTGAAAACATTAGATAAAAGTTTTTTCTTTTGATTATAATTTTGTTTACTTCCACACATCAATCATGATAATATTTTTTATGATTTTTATTATTTCTCTTTAGATATGATACCGTTACATATAGACTTTTTCAAAAATAAGTTTAAATTATTTAAAGGTATGAAAATTTTTAGTTATTTTATAATATTTTTTTATTCATCATTAAAAATACTGCTTTGCATAATCTATCATTCATCAAATTATAAAGTCATCTGTAAAATCAAAATTCAAAAATGTAATAAATTTAATAGTAATATAGGTATTTTAGCATAATTTATTAAACACTATAATATATTGCATATTATCATGTAGATATCTATCGTTATAATTAGAATACTCACATATTATTTTTTTATAGTACAAAGCTTTTATGATTGAGTTACACCAAACGCAATATTTTATAAGAAATAAAATGAGCAACTTGATATTTTTAAAGTATAAATATTTTATAAAGAATCATTGATACTACAACACACTTTTTAGTCAATGATTATATTTTTCAATCATTTTACATAATTTTGAAATTATTTGAATGGAATAGCATTGTGTAATAAATAATTATCTTTTCAGATCAAAACGAAAAAACAATTTTTGAAGAGTTGGGAGTTAGTTTCAAAAATGAATCTGAAATAGAAGAAGTCTACGAGTAGTAAATATTATTTTTGGCTCAATTTTTATGCACTTGCTCTACAATGCAATTTCATGTTTACGAAAATTCTGTTACTAAGCATTGTTTTTAAATATACTATTTGTAGCAATATAATTCATTTTAGATTCATTTTGACTCATATAATAACAAAAACATTTTAAATATAGTTCATTGATCATCGAAAATATATTATTATCTTGTCATAATATTGATATTTAATAAGGTACTAACGCTAATTTTTTTTTTCGTTAATATAGGTATACGCCTAATTAATTTAATACATCGTTGAAATAATATGTGGCAGTAAGTGATAACTGATAATACTATAATTGATTACCTTTATTAATGCTAATATTGTATAATACTTATAATTACTCAAACATTTATAAGTTTATAACATTATAATTTATAACTAATAGTTTTTACCAGAATCAAATTTATTATACTTTTAATTATTTAGTTGATCAATGAAAAGAGTACGCTATATCAATACAGTATTATATTATAAATAATATTGAATTGATTACCTACACTAAATTATTATAATACATACAAAATAAATGTTTTAAATTTATATTATATTATCACCTATAGGTACATATCATTAACTGTCACTTTAAATAAAATACAAATATACAATTTATATATAGTTTATAATTTATTTTATTTTTTGTATTGTAGTACTTATATAAATATTTTAAGCTTAAAAGTATCTGTCAGGTTTTGCACTCATCTAAATATTGTAGTCAACTGGATATTCACAATTCTCATATTATTGTGCATGGTTAAAGTAAGTTACAACATATGGTATAACGACCTATCATTACTATAATAAATTTAAAAATCAATGTTTTTTCGAAAACTTATTAGTATTATATAGTAATAATATTATAATAATACATCCTTATTAGTTATTATTAAAATATTAATGAAAAACCGAAATTTTCACGCTAAACCAATTTTTGACTAAATTGATTTTATTATTTTGTTATATTTCAAAAACGAGAAACTTCAAAAACTTGATATGTTCACCAATTTTTTATACTATTATTTTCTGTAAATATTATAAAATGCTATGATTTTCAAAATATTTTAATTTTTTTGAGTCATTTTTATGTAATTAAAATTTTCAATATCTTTTTTTTTTTTGTAAATGTCAATAAAAATTTATGAATGGGTAAAAATACTTGAAAATGTAATACAAGGTTCCTAATAAGTGATGTTTTTTAATAATTAAGTTGCATAAATGTTGTAAGAAGTTTCCGTATTTGCTTGTATTTAAAACAGTAGCAGAAGAGGAACTAAGGGTAGAATAATTTCGGATGATGTGTTTGTAAAGGATTGTACGGTTACATATATTTTAGAATGTTGTTTTAAAGACACATTAAGTGAGATTTGACACTCAACAATTTTACTGAATAAATTTTATCTGGGCAA